CAGCTGCGAAAGCGCTCCTCAGTAGTTGTTGTTTTGTTCCCAACCATCCTGTGGTGTTGGGTCTTCGTTTTGAACAGACAGCGCCCCACGTCCCCCCCCCCCCTCTCCCCCCCCCCTCCTTGCCTCTGCTCTCGGCACACCCCTCACACGTTCCGTGGCCCCATATGGAGCTCCACCGAAGGTCCCAGTGGCACAGCCAGCATGCGGTTCCCCCACCCAGGACAGCGCTTCGTAGCCCCACAGGGAGCTCCACCGAAGGTCCCAGTGGCACAGCCCGCATGCGGTTCCCCCACCCAGGACAGCGCTTCGTAGCCCCATAGGGAGCTTCACCGAAGGTCCCAGTGGCACAGCCCGCATGCGGTTCCCCCACCCAGGTCAGCGCTTCGTGGCCCCATAGGGGGCTCGACCGAAGGTCCCAGCGGCACAGCCCGCATGCGGCTCCCCCGCCCAGGGCAGCGCTTCGTGGCCCATAGGGAGCTCCACCGAAGGTCCCAGTGGCACAGCCCGCATGCGGTTCCCCCACCCAGGGCAGCGTTTCGTAGCCCCATAGGGAGCTCCACCGAAGGTCCCAGTGGCACAGCCCGCATGCGGTTCCCCCACCCTGGGCAGCGTTTCGTAGCCCCATAGGGAGCTCCACCGAAGGCCCCAGTGGGGGTGTTCGCATGCGGTTCCCCCACCCAGGGCAGCGTTTCGTGGCCCCATAGGGAGCTCCACCGAAGGCCCCAGTGGGGGTGTTCGCATGCGGTTCCCACACCCAGGGCAGCGCTTCGTGGCCCCATAGGGGGCTCCACCGAAGGATCCGGAAGGATCCCAGTGGCACAGCCCGCATGCGGTTCCCCCACCCAGGGCAGCGCTCCGTGGCACCATAGGGAGCTCCACCGAAGGCCCCAGTGGTACAGCCCGCATGCTGCCCCCCCACCCACGTCAGCGCTTCGTGGCTCCATAGCGTGCTCAACCGAAGGCTCCAGTGGCACACCCCGCATGCGCTTCCCCCACTCAGGGCAGCGTGTCGTGGCCCCATAGCGAGACCAACCGAAGGTTCCAGTGGCAGAGCCCGCATGCGGTTCCCCCACCCAGGGCAGCGCTTCGTGGCACCATAGGGAGCTCCATCGAAGGCCCCAGTGGCACAGCCCGCATGCGGTTCCCCCACCCAGGGCAGCGCTCCGTGGCACCATAGGGAGTTCCACCGAGGGTCCCAGTGGCACAGCCCTCATGCGGTTCCCCCGCCCAGGGCAGCGCTTCGTGGCCCCATAGGGAGCTCCATCGAAGGCCCCAGTGGCACAGCCCGCATGCGGTTGGCTCTACCGAAGGTCCCAGTGGCACAGCCCGCATGCGGTTCCCCCGCTCAAGGCAGCGCTCCGTAGCCCCATAGGGAGCTCCACCGAGGGTCCCAGTGGCACAGCCCGCATGCGTCTCCCCCACCCAGGGCAGCGCTTCGTGGCCCCATAGGCAGCTCCACCGAAGGCCCCAGTGGCACAGCCCGCACGCGGTTCCCTCACCCAGGGTTGCGCTTCGTGGCCCCATAGGGAGCTCCACCGAAGGCCCCAGTGGCGCAGTCCGCATGCGCCCCCCACCCACCCAGGGCAGCGTTTCGTGGCCCCATAGGGAGCTCCACCGAAGGTCCCTGTGGCACAGCCCGCATGCGCCCCCCATCCCCACCCCCACCCAGCACAGCGTTTCGTGGCCCCATAGGGAGCCCCACCGAAGGTCCCAGTGGCGCAGTTCGCATGCGCCCCCCCCGCCCAGTACAGCGTTTCTTGGCCCCGTAGAGAGCTCCACCGAAGGTCCCAGTGGCGCAGTTGGCATGCGCCCCCACCACCCAGTACAGCGACTCGTGGCCCCATACGGGGCTCCCCCGAACGCGATACCCACAACTGCATATGTTCGGGTCCTTCGCCAGGCTATGTGTTTAGCATGGCGCTATTCACCAGCTTTAAAAGCGCTTCTTAGCAGCTGTTCAGGGAGTTCCTTGGCACATGGTTTAAGGCGTTCCGTAATTTCCTTCCGTAGCAGTGTTTAAAGCGTTCCTTGGCAGTTTCTTAAGGCGCCTTGTAGCAGTTTTGAAGGCGCG